GGCCGCCACTCAATGGCCAACCCCCTGGACAGAGTTCCCTGTTCACCTTTCCAGAAGATTCTGCCGCCTGGCACAATGTGCCGCCCTGCTAGCTGCTCCCACGGCCTTTGGGACTCTATCCCCAGCCCTCCCACTGCCCGTCTGCCTGCCCACGAAGCCTGGGCACTCAGGGTAAGGGAGGGTTGTGCTGGGGGGGTCCCCTATTGCTGCGGATGCCAAATCACCTTGTCCACCCAAAGCAGGACAAGGAGCCCCCATGGCGGCCAGCGGATGGGAGGAGCACAGAGAAGAGCAGCAAGGACAGCACCGGTCGGCAGCCGCCCTCCTTGGGTGCCGGGTCTTCATCGCCGACTCCCTCCCTGTCCCCATGGAACCCCATGGAACCCCATGGAACCCCACCCGGCCCTTGCAGCTTCCACACAACATCTCGTGGCGTGAGCATTTCTGTCCCGGCTTACAAGTGGGGACATGGAAGCTTCTAGGGGTCCAGGGACTCATCGAAGGGCAAACAGCTGGGAAGCAGCAAGAGCTGGACCTGAGCTTGGGTGACCCCGCATCCTGAGACCTCGTGGAGGGTGCAGGGTGGTGGCAGCTGAAGGGAGCACAGGCCACAGTGAGAGGGCTGAATTCGTGCTCTGCCCTGTCCCCATCCCTTTATGGCTGGCTGTCTGGCTATCACCATTCGCTGTTCAAGTCGATCACTCCAGGGCCTAACCCATTAGCACAGGCTGGAAACTGTTCTCCACAACAGAAATCACACGGCTTCACGGTGTCATTACCCCCGGGACAGGTGCTCCGTTCTCCCCAGTGCCGATCTAACACATCTTGCGGGTGAATTATGAGCAGCACAGAAAGCTTAGCCCAGGGGACGTACAGATTATCCATAAACCGGCCGAGGCCTGCACTGCTGCCGCCTCCAGTCCATGGAGCCTGGACCACATCGCTGTGCGGCCAGCGCTCTGCTGGCTCCACTCTCGGGAGGGGCGGCTTCCCTCGGGGCCCCCAGCTCCAGGATGGCTGCAAAACACTCTCCCTTCCCTAAATTAACCATTTCACTTTTCCTTCTTGGCTTCCGTTATAAAATTCAGTGCTGAATGCACAGATGAGCTTGGGTAGCTCTGATAACACACACCTCTCCCAGGTTTCTGCTCCCACGTCACAGATCTGCCCGACAACCTTCATCAAACAGCCCCAGCGACTCCCTCCCCTTTCCCCGTTTCTCCAGGCTCCTGGTCACCACGTGACATCCTTTCTGTCTGATCTGTGTGCTGTCTTTTTCTCACTAGAACGCCTCGAGCGCAGGCCCTGGTCTCCTGGACCCAGGGACCCTGCTGCTGCAGTCGGCACCTACTGAATACCTCCGACCGAGTGCCTGAAAGAACGGATAACTAGGGAAGAGGCTGCGCCCGGCACACCCCTCCTCCAGGAGCCTGAACTGGATTCTAAGTCAGATGCCCTTCGTCCATCCTGGCTCTGAGGGGCTCACTGTGTTCTTGGTTTTTAAGTATTTGTGTAACCGAGACTCGGCCTTCTGTACAGCGAAGCAGGAGACAGTAGAGAGGCGTGCGGACAGACAAAAGGGTGGTCTGCTGATCGGACGCTCCGCACTGTGACAGAGGCAGCCCCTGAGGCTGGAACAGGAGGAAGTGAGCCCATCGGTGTGACCTTCACTCAGAAACGGAGCACTTCTTCCTACCGGCACAGGCACGCCGTGTGGGTCTGGTTGGGGGTGCTGGGGTTTAGGAGGCCAGCCCACGCGGCCCCTCCTGGCTCTCTGGCTGCCCCCACGCGTGGGCTCACTGTGCCTCAGGCCCCGAGGGGGCTTCTCATGACCATGTGCCCAAATGTGTCCGCATCCTGCTCCCTGCCACGCTGGGATTCTTCAGAGAAAATGAATGACAAGTTCCGAGAATTTTCAAATCTATTACAACTTCCCCCCGAAACACACCTCCATCCACGGAGCGACTGGAAACACAATTCCATGATAGTCACAGGTAGAAACGGACACGCGTGAGACTAGACCCACACATGCTCCATGCTTTTGTTCCGGCCCTCCGGTCCAGTTTAAGAACCCATTGTGGCCCTCGAGTCAAAAAGTTTGCCCACCCCTGGACTAGACCCACGCATGCGGTTCTATTAGGGAAGTGAGTTGGAGGCGAGGCGAGGGCCCTTACCTGTTTCACCACGGTCACCGTCCCGGGAGCCATGGCAACCACGGAGGCCACGGCCGTGGCGTCGTGGGCCTCGCTGCCCAGCTCAATGATCTGCTGGAGGATGTTTACCGCTGTGGGGTCCAGCCGGTCACCTTACGGGGAAGAAACAGATGGGACCCCTTAGGCCGCTGGTCCCGAAGGTCCCCGAATGCGAACAGCCAGAGCTCCAGCCCAGAGGCTCTGAACTCAAGTGTGGTAACACGAGACCACCTCTCAAGACGGAGGCCTGGGCAGTGCCAGCCATGGCGTCAAGGCAGAGGTCCGGGCCCCAGGCACACAGGCAGGCGGTCGGCAATAGGCTCCGGGCAAAACACCCTGGGATGTCTCACTGTCCAAGCGACGGGCGTCTAGTCCCAAACCTATTAAGCTTGGGTTCTACTGGAATCATCTCAAAAAACTGGAATCCAGCCCGGCCGGTGGGCTCAGTGGTTGAGCGTCAACCTATGAACCAGGAGGTCACGGTTCGATTCCCTGTCGGGCACATGCCTGGGTGCAGGCTTGGTCCCCAGCAGGGGGCGTGCAGGAGGCAGCCGATCAATGATTCTCTCTCATCCCTGATGTTTCTATCTCCCTCTCCTTCTCCCTCTGAAATCAATTAAAAAGTATATTTAAAAAAATTAAAAGATTAGAATCCATGTTATCGGGTGGCTCCTGAGATACCCGCCTGCCCTCACCATCGGCCTGACCCCCGTGGCTCTCCTGGACACGGAGCCCTGAGCCCGGCCATGGTTCACGAGGAGGGAGACCAGGGCCTGCTCTATGCTGGCAGCACATCGTGACGCCTCCGTCCACATCCGCATCCTCAGGGCGGGTGTCTGCCCCACGGGGAACAGTCAGTGAGAGGCGGGGAGGTGGGTACTGTGTAAAGGGCAGGGTGGGCACATGACCGCGGCAACAATGACGTTAGTGACCTGACCACCTTCACACGCACCCCCAGGACCCCCCCCACATGTAACACCCATGCTACCGCTCTCGGAGGTGTATCTCAGGTCCTGCAGCGCGGCCACGGCAGCCTGCGTGCCCTGGACGTCCTCTTCGGCCTCCGCGATGTGCAGGTACTGGGTGGCGGGCTCCTCGGGAGTCTCTGTCGCTGGCTGAGCAAACACATCACACCCGAGTGACCTTCTGGACGGCCCCTGCCCCCCGAGTCCCGGGAGGAGGCAAGAAGACAAAGCCAGGGCACTCTGCAACCTCTCACTGTTCCCCGAGGAGCCGGCTGCTCCAATAACCCCACTTCCCAGGGAGAAAACTTCCCTTTGCGGACACGGAGGCTCTAGCCCCGCTCCGGTGGGCAGCCCCCTGCTGACGCCCTTGCCCGGGAACAGCCGGGCAGATCAGACTGGAGGTGCCGGGGACTCCTGTGCACGCTCCCCTGATGGCTCCTGTCTCTGCCCACGGCGCCAGCACCACCTCACAGCGCCCCCACACCAGCGCCTCCTGCCCCGTGGCTGGCAGAGGAAGGGCACCTCGGTGGGGGTGGCGGAGGGCAGGAGAGGGGGTGGCGATCAGGTAATATGTACAAAGCCTGCAGCCCCGGTCCCGGCGCCGGGTCAGGGCTCAGTATGTCTTAGCTGTTCGTGCCTTTTTGTTTTTATACGATGGGCACAATAAACAAAAGTGCACACAGGAAACATATCTGTGCAAAGTGAGGGCTCTTGAGCGAAGAAGGAGCAACTGTGATGGAGCAAGCAGAATTTCACACGCTAAACGGGAATGAAGACCTCCTTCTAGAAGGGATGCGGAGGCCCAGGGAAACTGAGGGAAGCATCACTGTCAACAATAGCGAAGAACAAAAGGGAGGGCTTCGCACAAGATGGACAGGAGCCAGGCGTGCTCTGTAAGCACAGGTCAGTGATGGGCAGGCTCGGGAGAGCTCGGATCACTCTATTCCCGCCACATTCACTCAGGCGTTCCCGGCCTGGAGGAGGAGGAGAAAGGAGGAGGAGGTGGAGGAAGAGCCAACAGAGAACAAG